TTCATTCCATGTACTGCAGACTTCCATCATGTACGCGCAGATTAAATTCAAAACCTAATGAAAAGAAAACCTCTTCAAAAGCAAGTTATCCAAAATGAGAAGAGGTTTATCTCATAGACTAGAAGCAGGAAAAACAAAACAAGAAAAGCTCTTCACTCTGTCGGCATCTCAAACCGACATACAGGGCAATAGTGGCTTTGCTTCAGCCACTTTTCGATACAGTCACCATGAAAAATATGAGAACATGGCATCCGAGAAGCATCTGATCCAACCTCGAGTTCCTCCAAACAAATAACACAGTTTTCAGCTTCCAAACGCCCTCTCTTGATTTTTCCTTCAACTTTTTGATCACAGTCAACAGCTTCCACTCGAACACTCTTCAGCATCTTCTTCACGGATGACTCCTTGGCTGGAACCATGTTATAGTTGCTTGATTCAAACTGCGACGCCGATTCTTCCAGAGCTCTTTCGATCAAAACCTCCTCTTCCTCTTCCTCGTTTACGTGTTCCACAAACGTTCCCCATAGCAGTGCTTGCAAAGGCAAGACTTGACGTCCCTTGTTGGACTCTGAGTTTCCGATGCTAAGTCCTTGTGTGATGATTTCTTTGATGATAGCACGGGACGGACGAGCGTTGGGGTTGAGTCTGAGTCTTACTAGCATGGGACCAAGGATTTGGTACATCCGATCATGGCTTTCCAAAGCATGACGTTCAAAACGAATGGTTTCTTGAGAGAAAAAAGAGCCCTCGTCGTCAAGATCGACAAACTGATCGGTTAAACAATAATGTCGCCTGAATCGGAATTGAAGGGTGATGGTTAATTCAATTTGGAGAAAAGGGGGAGTGGGGTAAAAGATTTCGGGCTCAACCAATGGTTGATAAACAATATGTTGCAGGTCATCGTTGTAGTAGTAAGTAGCGGAAGCCATTGGAGAAAAATCTTGAGGGGAAGAGTTTTCTTGTGAACGATCAGAGCTAGAACTGAAAATCTCGTAGTTGCTTGCTCACTAAGGAAATCCTGGTCTGATATATAAAGATTTCAGCAGCATTTGAACTTGGTTTTGCTATAATGC